GGGCAGCTGGGGCTTCTGACGCTGGGGCGGGTAGCTAGGCTGTTGCTGGGGAACTTGCCATTGCTGGGCAGGGTAGCCAGGCTGATGAGGCAATTGCTGCTGAGGCTTTTGGGGCAACTGACGCTGGAGCAGCTGTTGCTGGGGCAACTGACGCCAGGGTGGATAGCTAGGATGTTGCTGGGGCAGCTGTTGCTGGGGCACCCGACGTTCAGGCTGCTGCTCTGGCTTCTGGGGCAGTTTTGGCTGTGGAACATGCCCTTGCTGGGCTGGGTAGCGTTGCTGCTGGGGAAATTGCAGCTGGGGGGCTTCCAGCTCCTGCTGGGGCTGCTGGTGCAACTGACGCTCCGGCTGCTGGGGAGGGTAGCTTGGCTGCTGGGGCAACTGACGCTCCGGCTGCTTGGGAGGGTAGCTTGGCTGCTGGGGCAAACTGACGCTCCGGCTGCTTGGGTGGGTAGCTTGGCTGCTGGGGCAACTGAAGCTCCGGCTGTTGGGGAGGGTAGTTTGGCTGCTGGGGCAACTGAAGCTCCGGCTGTTGGGGAGGGTAGCTTGGCTGCTGGGGCAACTGAAGCTCCGGCTGTTGGGGAGGGTAGCTTGGCTGCTGGGGCAACTGAAGCTCCGGTTGCTTGGGAGGGTAGCTTGGCTGCTGGGGCAACTGACGCTCCGGCTGCTTGGGAGGGTAGCTTGACTGCTGGGGCAACTGAAGCTCCGGCTGCTTGGGAGGGTAGCTTGGCTGTTGGGGTAACTGAAGCTCCGGCTGCTTGGGAGGGTAGCTTGGCTGCTGGGGCAACTGACGCTCCGGCTGCTTGGGACGGTAGCTTGGCTGCTGGGGCAACTGACGCTCCGGCTGCTTGGGAGGGTAGCTTGGCTGCTGGGGCAACTGACGCTCCGGCTGTTGGGGAGGGTAGCTTGGCTGCTGGGGCAACTGACGCTCCGGCTGTTGGGGAGGGTAGCTTGGCTGCTGGGGCAACTGAAGCTCTGGCTGCTTGGGAGGGTAGCTTGACTGCTGGGGCAACTGAAGCTACGGCTGTTGGGGAGGGTAGCTTGACTGCTGGGGCAACTGACGCTCCGGCTGCTTGGGTGGGTAGCTTGACTGCTGGGGCAACTGAAGCTCCGGCTGTTGGGGAGGGTAGCTTGGCTGCTGGGGCAACTGAAGCTCCGGTTGCTTGGGAGGGTAGCTTGACTGCTGGGGCAACTGAGGCTCCGGCTGCTTGGGAGGGTAGCTTGGCTGCTGGGGCAACTGAAGCTCCGGCTGTTGGGGAGGGTAGCTTGGCTGCTGGGGCAACTGAAGCTCCGGCTGTTGGGGAGGGTAGCTTGGCTGCTGGGGCAACTGAAGCTCCGGTTGCTTGGGAGGGTAGCTTGACTGCTGGGGCAACTGAGGCTCCGGCTGCTTGGGAGGGTAGCTTGGCTGCTGGGGCAACTGAAGCTGGGGCAACTGACGCTCCGGCTGTTGGGGAGGGTAGCTTGGCTGCTGGGGCAACTGACGCTCCGGCTGCTTGGGTGGGTAGCTTGGCTGCTGGGGCAACTGACGCTCCGGCTGCTTGGGTGGGTAGCTTGGCTGCTGGGGCAACTGAAGCTCCGGCTGTTGGGGAGGGTAGCTTGGCTGCTGGGGCAACTGAGGCTTCTGGGGAGGGTAGCTTGGCTGCTGGGGCAACTGAAGCTCCGGCTGCTTGGGAGGGTAGCTTGGCTGCTGGGGCAACTGAAGCTCCGGCTTTTGTGGAGGGTAGCTTGGCTGCTGGGGTGACTGACGCTCCGGCTGTTGGGGAGGGTAGCTTGGCTGCTGGGGCAACTGAAGCTCCGGTTGCTTGGGAGGGTAGCTTGACTGCTGGGGCAACTGAGGCTCCGGCTGCTTGGGAGGGTAGCTTGGCTGCTGGGGCAACTGAAGCTCCGGCTGTTGGGGAGGGTAGCTTGGCTGCTGGGGCAACTGAAGCTCCGGCTGTTGGGGAGGGTAGCTTGGCTGCTGGGGCAACTGAAGCTCCGGTTGCTTGGGAGGGTAGCTTGACTGCTGGGGCAACTGAGGCTCCGGCTGCTTGGGAGGGTAGCTTGGCTGCTGGGGCAACTGAAGCTGGGGCAACTGACGCTCCGGCTGTTGGGGAGGGTAGCTTGGCTGCTGGGGCAACTGACGCTCCGGCTGCTTGGGTGGGTAGCTTGGCTGCTGGGGCAACTGACGCTCCGGCTGCTTGGGTGGGTAGCTTGGCTGCTGGGGCAACTGAAGCTCCGGCTGCTTGGGAGGGTAGCTTGACTGCTGGGGCAACTGAAGCTCCGGCTGTTGGGGAGGGTAGCTTGGCTGCTGGGGCAACTGACGCTGGGGCAGCTTTTGCTGGGGCAGCTGTTGCTGGGGCAACTGCCGTTCAGGCTGCTGCTCTGGCTTCTGGGGCAGTTTTGGCTGTGGAACATACCATTGCTGGGCTCGGTAGCGTTGCTGGGGCAACTGAAGCTCCGGCTGTTGGGGAGGGTAGCTTGGCTGCTGGGGCAACTGAAGCTCCGGCTGTTGGGGAGGGTAGCTTGGCTGCTGGGGCAACTGAAGCTCCGGCTGTTGGGGAGGGTAGCTTGGCTGCTAGGGCAACTGAGGCTTCTGGGGAGGGTAGCTTGGCTGCTGGGGCAACTGAAGCTCCGGCTGCTTGAGAGGGTAGCTTGGCTGCTGGGGCAACTGACGCTCCGGCTTTTGTGGAGGGTAGCTTGGCTGCTGGGGCAACTGAAGCTCCGGCTGTTGGGGAGGGTAGCTTGGCTGCTGGGGCAACTGAAGCTCCGGCTGTTGGGGAGGGTAGCTTGGTTGCTGGGGCAACTGACGCTGGGGCAGCTGTTGCTGGGGCAGCTGTTGCTGGGGCAGCTGCCATTCAGGCTGCTGCTCTGGCTTCTGGGGCAGTTTTGGCTGTGGAACATACCATTGCTGGGCTCGGTAGCGTGGCCGGGGCAACTGAAGCTCCGGCTGTTTGGGAGGATAGCTTGGCTGCTGGGGCAACTGAAGCTCCGGCTTTTGTGGAGGGTAGCTTGGCTGTTGGGGAGGGTAGCTTGGCTGCTGGGGCAACTGAAGCTCCGGCTGTTGGGGAGGGTAGCTTGGCTGCTGGGGCAACTGACGCTGGGGCAGCTTTTGCTGGGGCAGCTTTTGCTGGGGCAGCTGTTGCTGGGGCAACTGCCGATCAGGCTGCTGCTCTGGCTTCTGGGGCAGTTTTGGCTGTGGAACATACCATTGCTGGGCTCGGTAGCGTTGCTGGGGCAACTGAAGCTCAGGCTGTTGGGGAGGGTAGCTTGGCTGCTGGGGCAACTGAAGCTCCGGCTGTTGGGGAGGGTAACTTGGCTGCTGGGGCAACTGAAGCTTTTGACCGTACACAGTCACCTGTGGCTGTTGAGGACAAAAATGTACCTTTATTGATACCCACAGGGAAACTCCGGTGTCTCAGCAGCAACAGAAATGAATTGTAAATAATGTGGAAAATGTAACAGTATAAATTAAAATGAAAGGTTTAACATGTATAGTACAAGGATGAATTTAGGATTCCAGGCAAAGATTGGAAGATAAGTTGCTGAAATACATTTTTAGATGGCAATTGGTAATGTGTGGCATGTTGTAGCCGCTCACCTTGTATGCATTTGAGGTTGAAGCAACACCGTGCGGCCAAGTGCTAGATGAAGACCTGTCTCCAATGTTGAAGCCACTTGAATCTGGGCGATAGCCTGCAACTGGCACATCATCTCCATACTCCTCAGTAGATCTAATAACGCGAACTGTAGAACAAATATTTTTTAGCCCATGCAGAAAAAACCAAGCAGCTTCACAACGTGACTAAACTTACAATTTGCTTGATTTCCCCCAACAGCTAGCACAGACAACAGCAACCATCTAGACAAGAAAATCCAAAGTTACTATCACTAAGAATGAGTTGCACAATTTAAATAATTACAAACATTTTGTAAAACTTACCTGAAGAGGAACCCCATAGCGACAGCTAGCAGAGTCACTTTGTCTGAACACCAAACCACTCAACTGAACCAGTCAGAAAAGAAGAAGTGACTGCAGAAACTCAGGAGCCCTTTTTAAGCTCACCCACCTTTCCTTGTTGATTAGCTGGACATATGAGTCATTAAAGGCAGGTGTGTCTAATTGGCTGAGGTCCACTGCATTATGGGAACTATTCAGAGGCCATTTGCCATTTCACTCTTTCCGTATGTTTAAAAAAACGTTGTTGCAAAACGTTTGGTATCCTCTCCTCAAAGTACAACAGCACAATATACTTTTTGTAAACGTACCTTGTCATTATGTTATTTCAGCCACACTTAATATCATGACTTAAAGATTTACAGGATAAATCACATGCATTATAAAAGACGCATATCTGTTTGTCTGCCGGGAGGTGTGTGGCACAGTGGATAGAGCCTTAGTATGGGGGATCAGCTGACTTTTTACAGTAGTGTGACCTCTAGTGGAAAGGATATCATTTATAATTAATTCTGCGTGTAATAAAAATGGGTTTTATATAATTCGAAAAGTGGTGAAATTAGATTTAAACTGAAAGTACTTATACCACTACAAGTACTTTCCTCTACAAACAAATTCTTTAGCCAATTTAGGAATATCTTGAGGGCTTTGTCATTATGCTCAACACTGTAATAGTGTACATTATATTAATGCAAGTAATATAAATATAGGGAAAGAATAAAAGTGCAATAAATGCTGATGGTAAACCATATGTAAAAATAAACAGTACATTCAAATACTGCATATTGTAATACGTAAATAAAATGCTTTTAGGCTTAGATGTTAATGTTTCTGCAAATTGTAAATCCTTTGGTAGGTTAATCTTCAGCATTGCAGAATGTCTGTAGTTGTGTTACCGTCCTGAGAGAACCATGCATCTCTTAAGTGAAAACAACTTTTCAGTTTAAAAAAATAAAGCCCCTTTCAGCTTTTTGAAATACTTGCTCCTTCAGTTCATCAAAAACAAACAAATGTTGTAGAGACAGGATTTTGATTTATAGGAGGGAATAAACAAAATAGTAAACAATGAATTGATACACTTTTTTATTTTGAAAGGGCAATACAGGGCTCAGTTGAAAGCAGTCTTTGACGAACCTTCAGTGTCACCTAAAACACAAAAACAGACTTTGTAAAATCAGTATTTAAAAGCTTGAGTCATATTGCAGAGTTCAAATGCATACCCCGCCCATTGCTGCTCTGGACTTGAGCAAGTTCATAGCCATAGCCTCTTTCGTCACCATTGGTGCTGTACCTGGAAGAAAGTCAAGGTGGACAGATTACACAGATTCTGCCTATCTTTCCAATAAAACAGCATTAGCTAAACTTACCCATTTGAAGCCATTCGGGAAGCAACTCCTTGGGCAACAGTTTCATAATCAATGAGGTTTGGCTGCTGCCTCTTGTTCATGAACTTAGGCAGGTAACGCGGCTGCCCAGGCAATTTCTGCCAGGGCAATTTCTGCCAGGGCAATTTCTGCCAGGGCAATTTCTGCCAAGGCAACTTCTGCCAAGGCAACTTCTGCCAAGGCAACTTCTGCCAAGGCAACTTCTTGGATGGGAAGGAAGGCATCGGTAACCGGTTAGCCGGTCTCTGCATGTAAGAACCATAGATCTTGTTCAGGTTGTTCGACAGGTATCCTGACTGCTCAGGCTGCTGGTTCTCATAGCCTGACTGCTGCTGGGGCAACTGCTGCTGGGGCAACTGCTGCTGGGACTTTTTGGGCAGCTGGGGCTTCTGACGCTGGGGCGGGTAGCTAGGCTGTTGCTGGGGAACTTGCCATTGCTGGGCAGGGTAGCCAGGCTGATGAGGCAATTGCTGCTGAGGCTTTTGGGGCAACTGACGCTGGGGCAACTGACGCCAGGGTGGATAGCTAGGATGTTGCTGGGGCAGCTGTTGCTGGGGCACCTGACGTTCAGGCTGCTGCTCTGGCTTCTGGGGCAGTTTTGGCTGTGGAACATGCCCTTGCTGGGCTGGGTAGCGTTGCTGCTGGGGAAATTGCAGCTGGGGGGCTTCCAGCTCCTGCTGGGGCTGCTGGGGCAACTGACGCTCCGGCTGCTTGGGAGGGTAGCTTGGCTGCTGGGGCAACTGACGCTCTGGCTGCTTGGGAGGGTAGCTTGGCTGCTGGGGCAACTGACGCTCCGGCTGCTTGGGAGGGTAGCTTGGCTGCTGGGGCAACTGACGCTCCGGCTGCTGGGGAGGGTAGCTTGGCTGCTGGGGCAACTGACGCTCCGGCTGCTGGGGAGGGTAGCTTGGCTGCTGGGGCAACTGAAGCTCCGGCTGTTGGGGGAGGGTAGCTTGGCTGCTGGGGCAACTGAAGCTCCGGCTGTTGGGGAGGGTAGCTTGGCTGCTGGGGCAACTGAAGCTCCGGCTGTTGGGGAGGGTAGCTTGGCTGCTGGGGCAACTGAAGCTCCGGCTGTTGGGGAGGGTAGCTTGGCTGCTGGGGCAACTGAAGCTCCGGCTGTTGGGGAGGGTAGCTTGGCTGCTGGGGCAACTGAAGCTCCGGTTGCTTGGGAGGGTAGCTTGACTGCTGGGGTAACTGAAGCTCCGGCTGCTTGGGAGGGTAGCTTGACTGCTGGGGCAACTGAAGCTCCGGCTGTTGGGGAGGGTAGCTTGGCTGCTGGGGCAAATGACGCTCCGGCTGTTGTGGAGGGTAGCTTGGCTGCTGGGGCAACTGAAGCTCCGGCTGCTTGGGAGGGTAGCTTGACTGCTGGGGCAACTGACGCTCCGGCTGTTGGGGAGGGTAGCTTGACTGCTGGGGCAACTGAAGCTCCGGCTGTTGGGGAGGGTAGCTTGGCTGCTGGGGCAACTGACGCTCCGGCTGCTGGGGAGGGTAGCTTGGCTGCTGGGGCAACTGACGCTCCGGCTGTTGGGGAGGGTAGCTTGGCTGCTGGGGCAACTGACGCTCTGGCTGCTTGGGTGGGTAGCTTGGCTGCTGGGGCAACTGAAGCTCCGGCTGCTTGGGAGGGTAGCTTGGCTGCTGGGGCAACTGAAGCTCCGGCTGTTGGGGAGGGTAGCTTGGCTGCTGGGGCAACTGAAGCTCCGGCTGTTGGGGAGGGTAGCTTGGCTGCTGGGGCAACTGAAGCTCCGGTTGCTTGGGAGGGTAGCTTGGCTGCTGGGGCAACTGAAGCTCCGGTTGCTTGGGAGGGTAGCTTGGCTGCTGGGGCAACTGAAGCTCCGGCTGCTTGGGAGGGTAGCTTGGCTGCTGGGACAACTGAAGCTCCGGCTGCTTGGGAGGGTAGCTTGGCTGCTGGGGCAACTGACGCTCCGGCTGTTGGGGAGGGTAGCTTGGCTGCTGTGGTAACTGACGCTCCGGCTGTTGGGGAGGGTAGCTTGGCTGCTGGGGCAACTGAAGCTCCGGCTGTTGGGGAGGGTAGCTTGGCTGCTGGGGCAACTGAAGCTCCGGCTGTTGGGGAGGGTAGCTTGGCTGCTGGGGCAACTGAAGCTCCGGCTGTTGGGGAGGGTAGCTTGGCTGCTGGGGCAACTGAAGCTCCGGCTGTTGGTGAGGGTAGCTTGGCTGCTGGCGCAACTGACGCTCCGGCTGTTGGGGAGGGTAGCTTGGCTGCTGGGGCAACTGAAGCTCCGGCTGTTGGGGAGGGTAGCTTGGCTGCTGGGGCAACTGAAGCTCCGGCTGTTGGGGAGGGTAGCTTGGCTGCTGGGGCAACTGAAGCTCCGGCTGCTGAAGCTCCGGCTGCTGGGGAGGGTAGCTTGACTGCTGGGGCAACTGAGGCTCCGGCTGCTTGGGAGGGTAGCTTGGCTGCTGGGGCAACTGAAGCTCCGGTTGCTGGAGAGGGTAGCTTGGCTGCTGGGGCAACTGACGCTCCGGTTGCTGGAGAGGGTAGCTTGGCTGCTGGGGCAACTGACGCTCCGGCTGCTGGGGAGGGTAGCTTGGCTGCTGGGGCAACTGAAGCTCCGGCTGCTTGGGAGGGTAGCTTGGCTGCTGGGGCAACTGAAGCTCCGGCTGCTGGGGAGGGTAGCTTGGCTGCTGGGGCAACTGACGCTCCGGCTGCTGGGGAGGGTAGCTTGGCTGCTGGGGCAACTGACGCTCCGGCTGTTGGGGAGGGTAGCTTGGCTGCTGGGGCAACTGACGCTCCGGCTGTTGGGGAGGGTAGCTTGGCTGCTGGGGCAACTGACGCTCCGGCTGCTTGGGAGGGTAGCTTGGCTGCTGGGGCAACTGAAGCTCCGGCTGTTGGGGAGGAGGTTAGCTTGGCTGCTGGGGCAACTGACGCTCCGCTGCTTGGGGTGGGTAGCTTGGCTGCTGGGGAACTGAAGCTCCGGCTGTTGGGGGAGGGTAGCCTTGGCTGCTGGGGCAACTGAAGCTCCGGCTGTTGGGGGAGGGTAGCTTGGCTGCTGGGGGTAACTGGACGCCTCCGGTTGCTGGGGAGGGTAGCTTGGCTGCTGGGGCATACTGACGCTCCGGCTGCTTGGGTGGGTTAGCTTGGCTGCTGGGGCAACTGAAGCTCCGGCTGTGTGGGGAGGGTTAGCTTGGCTGCTGGGGAACTGAAGCTCCGGCTGCTTGGAGGGTAGCTTGGACTGCTGGGGCAACTGAAGCTCCGGCTGTTGGGGAGGGTAGCTTGGCGCGTTGGGGGCAAACTGAAGCTCCGGCTGTTGGGGAGGGTAGCTTGGCTGCTGGGGCAACTGAAGCTCCGGCTGTTGGGGAGGGTTAGCTGTGGTTGCTGGGGAGGGGTAGCTTGGCTGCTGGGGCAACTGAAGCTCCGGCTGTTGGGGAGGGTAGCTTGGCTGCTGGGGCAACTGACGCTCCGGCTGTTGGGGAGGGTAGCTTGGCTGCTGGGGCAACTGAAGCTCCGGCTGTTGGGGAGGGTAGCTTGGCTGCTGGGGCAACTGAAGCTCCGGCTGTTGGGGAGGGTAGCTTGGCTGCTGGGGCAACTGAAGCTCCGGCTGTTGGGGAGGGTAGCTTGGCTGCTGGGGCAACTGACGCTGGGGCAGCTTTTGCTGGGGCAGCTGTTGCTGGGGCAGCTGCCGTTCAGGCTGCTGCTCTGGCTTCTGGGGCAGTTTTGGCTGTGGAACATACCATTGCTGGGCTCGGTAGCGTGGCTGGGGCAAGTGAAGCTCCGGCTGTTTGGGAGGGTAGCTTGGCTGCTGGGCCAACTGAAGCTCCGGCTTTTGTGGAGGGTAGCTTGGCTGCTGGGGTAACTGACGCTCCGGCTGTTGGGGAGGGTAGCTTGGCTGCTGGGGCAACTGAAGCTCCGGCTGTTGGGGAGGGTAGCTTGGCTGCTGGGGCAACTGAAGCTCCGGCTGTTGGGGAGGGTAGCTTGGCTGCTGGGGCAACTGACGCTGGGGCAGCTTTTGCTGGGGCAGCTGTTGCTGGGGCAACTGCCGTTCAGGCTGCTGCTCTGGCTTCTGGGGCAGTTTTGGCTGTGGAACATACCATTGCTGGGCTCGGTAGCGTTGCTGGGGCAACTGAAGCTCAGGCTGTTGGGGAGGGTAGCTTGGCTGCTGGGGCAACTGAAGCTCCGGCTGTTGGGGAGGGTAGCTTGGCTGCTGGGGCAACTGAAGCTTTTGACCGTACACAGTCACCTGTGGCTGTTGAGGACAAAAATGTACCTTTATTGATACCCACAGGGAAACTCCGGTGTCTCAGCAGCAACAGAAATGAATTTTAAATAATGTGGAAAATGTAACAGTATAAATTAAAATTAAAGGTTTAACATGTATAGTACAAGGATGAATTTAGGATTCCAGGCAAAGATTGGAAGATAAGTTGCTGAAATACATTTTTAGATGGTAATTGGTAATGTGTGGCATGTTGTAGCCGCTCACCTTGTATGCATTTGAGGTTGAAGCAACACCGTGCGGCCAAGTGCTAGATGAAGACCTGTCTCCAATGTTGAAGCCACTTGAATCTGGGCGATAGCCTGCAACTGGCACATCATCTCCATACTCCTCAGTAGATCTAATAACGCGAACTGTAGAACAAACATTTTTTAGCCCATGCAGAAAAAACCAAGCAGCTTCACAACGTGACTAAACTTACAATTTGCTTGATTTCCCCCAACAGCTAGCACAGACAACAGCAACCATCTAGACAAGAACATCCAAAGTTACTATCACTGTAAGAATGAGTTGCACAATTTAAATAATTACACAAACATTTTGTAAAACTTACCTGAAGAGGAACCCCATAGCGACAGCTAGCAGATTCACTTTGTCTGAACACCAGAGTCACTTTGTCTGAACACCAAACCACTTTGTCTGAACACCAAACCACTCAACTGAACCAGTCAGAAAAGAAGAAGTGACTACAGAAACTCAGGAGCCCTTTTTAAGCTCACCCACCTTTCCTTGTTGATTAGCTGGACATATGAGTCATTAAAGGCAGGTGTGTCTAATTGGCTGAGGTCCACTGCATTATGGGAACTATTCAGAGGCCATTTGCATTTCACTCTTTCCGTATGTTTAAAAACGTTGTTGCAAAACGTTTGGTATCCTCTCCTCAAAGTACAACAGCACAATATACTTTTTGTAAACGTACCTTGTCATTATTATGTTATTTCAGCCACACTTAATATCATGACTTAAAGATTTACAGGATAAATCACATGCATTATAAAACAGACACATATCTGTTTGTCTGCCGGGAGGTGTGTGGCACAGTGGATAGAGCCTTAGTATGGGGATCAGATGGTCACTGGTTCAAACCCCACTGCAGTCAGCATGTCGTTGTGTCCCTGGGCAAGACACTTCACCCCAAATTGCTCCTGAGGGGATTGCCCACAGTATTGAGTATTGAGTATGTAAGTCCCTTTGGATAAAAGCATCTAACAAGTAACATGTAATGTAATGTAATTATATGCCTCTTAAAACTTCCAATTTGATGAATTAGACCAAGGAACGATAAACATAACCAATTGAGAATATATAATGTATCTAAATGTATCATAATAAATATAATTTAAGCATTTATATATATATATATATAAATCAAAGGTGTCTTTTCTATACATAATATATGTTTTCATTAATAAAATAAACTACATTTCCCATCAGCAACCACATTACCTAATGCATAATCTACTTCCTGGAAACCATTTTCAAAATAAGAGAATGTCCCTATTCTGTTTGCAGTTGCCGCTATGAGATTGACTGCAAATCTTTAAATCAGCTTTTATTTTGAAATCCGGGTCATTCCTCCGTATATTGTCAATCCCTTGCGGAGCCACCGATCGCCTGCAGCCGGTAGTGTAATCCGTGTGGACTGTGGAGAACGGTGGACTTTAGACAGGTAAACTACCGCCGCGATGAGGCTCTGTTTGGCCGGTGCCGTGCTGCTGTCGGCGGCCGCTTACTACGTCTACCTGCCGCTACCGAGCGGGGTGAGTGAGCCGTGGAAGCTGATGCTGCTGGACGCGCTGTTCCGGAGCTTCATGCAGGCGGTGAGAGCTGGAGGATAATTTACACTAAACAGGTTGTTGAGAGGGGAACAGCGAGCCGTCAGGGTTATGGAATGACAAGAAAACACAGTATCCACAACAGCCACCTTGCACATCTTTAATTTGTATACTATCCTACGAGTCTCTGCCCTTGTAGTATAAATCTATATTTCTCTTGCTGCTGTTTTTTGTATAGAACATTTTCAATTATCCGGAATATTTGATATTGTGTATTATTTGTGATATATGTATTTTCTACTGTAGATATGTTTTTGCTGTATTTTATTATGTCTATCATTTATTATACCTTTCATATTGTAAATGCCTGAACACACTGCTGCTGTAACACAATCATTTCCCAACTTTTAATCCATCTATCTATTTAGAAGTGAGGAGAGATTAATGTGACAGTACATAAACATTAACATAAAACAGGAGAGGTGACAGCAGCACAACATTTATTAATAGAAATGTTGTATAACATAAAAAACACGTCTCTCCAAAATTGTGATTTTGACCATGTATTCCTTTATGGTGGGGAGACAGTTCTGAAGCTAAAGGAACCATTTAAAAACACGTCTGAAAAATGTTTATTTTTTTGTGGAAATATGTTCTTTTAAGCAGCAAGAGGAAACAGAACAAAATGAGGTGACTGGATTTATCCCTGCTGCTGAACAATGTAACTCTCATATATCATATGGTATTATTCAGCTAAGCTGTCCTTAAACATCCAAATCCTATAATCTTATGCAGCATTGTGAGGCAACAAGTTTCTACTCCAGCTTAAAGTGCAGGGCGAGTTTTCACACCCTGCTCATTCTTTCCATCCAGCCTGTCAAGCTTTTTAACGGCAGGGAGGGGCTCCAGACTCAGAGAGAGATCACACCTGATTTACATTTAAATTAATGAATAAATACTAAGTTGTAAGCTTAAGGATAAAACATGTATGGAAGTTACGTTGTCACCAGAAGTGTTCTACCAATACAATTTTGATTTCAGTGTCTTTTCTTTACCCAGGAATGAAAACATTGTTCTCTCCGGTATAGAAAAATCCTTGAAATAACTGCTATGTGTGTTTGTATTTTCAGAGTGACGTGGCCCACGCTCTGGGTGTGTGCCATCGGATCCACCTGTTGAACCACGTGGTGTCCTGGGTGGAGGAGATCGAGGCTCGCTCCTGCCCCGCGGTCCACGTGACGGACACCTCGCTGGGCGGCGTGCCGACCCGAGTCTTCCAGCCCAAAGGAGGCAAGCAGCTGAAGAGAGGAGTCATATATTTCCACGGTGGAGGATGGGCGCTTTGCAGTGGAAGTGAGTGTTAAAAAGTCTGAAAGATGCCCAAAGAAAAAGGAAGATTGACAATGAACATTTCAACTTTTTGGGTTAACATGTATCACTGTGTAAAGCCAGTGGGACATGTAATAATTAGAGTATTGTTGACATGATATCACTTATCTGCCTCACAGGGATGCGATCATATGACCATCTTTGTCGTAAAATGGCGGAAGACCTGGACTCTGTCGTCATGTCTGTGGAGTAAGTTCTGTCACATTGCAGCAAATGTAATCTTGTTATTAATTGTCAATATTTAGCTGAGTATAAAAACCACAATCATTCCAAAACAGAGAAAAAAGTTCTTAAAAATAGTGTATTGGAAAACATATCTTTCCAAAGGTGCCTTATTATTTTCAGTTTTTAATATAAAACAGTTGTTTATCAGTGTTTAATTAATTTGTGAAAAAAAAGTATCAGATTTGAAAAACTGAGTTTTTAATTTAATGAATTACTTTAATTGGGTCTACCTTGTTTTCTTTTTGTCCATCTCTTGTCACTTTTTACTATACATTTTGAAGCATAATCTGAGCATTAGTTAATGCAAACAATACTTTTTGTGTTACAGTTCTACTTACATCAGCATTAATGTAAGATGCTTGCGGATATAAAATCTGGAAGAAAATATATTTAAAACTGAAAAATTGGATCCCACTTATAAGTGCCCCTGTGTCAATTCAACAGAAACACCAGACCTGCCCTATCTTTGAATCATGTTTTAAAGTGTTGCATACAATTATAATCTTGATTTTCTTGTATTTCCTGTGCCTATAGTTACCGTCTCGCTCCAGATGCGGTGTTCCCGGCGCAGTATCACGATGCGTTAGCGGCGTCCCGGGCCTTCCTGTCTGCTGAGGTTTTGGAGCGCTACAGCATCGACCCGGAGAGGGTGTGTGTGTCGGGGGACAGCGCCGGGGGAAACCTGGCTGCTGCTGTGGCACAAGAGGTAGAAAAACAAACACACACATAACATAATAATATGACATATTAGCAGTAAGTTAAATCTCCTTCTAAAAGATGAAAACAAGTGCTCTGTTGTTGTGTTAAACTGTGAATTGCTTCAACTATTAGCAGTCCCAGAATGTCATGAGTTTAGGTTTCATTGATGAGTTGTGAAATAGCCCTGCCTTTGTCCACAGCTCAGCTCTGATGACGCTCTGACGGTGAACTTCAAGCTGCAGGCGCTGATCTACCCCGTGCTGCAGGCGCTCGACTTCTACACCCCGTCCTACCAGCAGAACCGGGACGTGCCCATCCTCTACAGGCCCATCATGGCTCGCTACTGGCTGCAGTACCTGGGGGCCGACACCTCCCTGGAGCCCCTCCTGCTGGCCAACAACCACAGCTCCCTGGACCAGCCGGCCCTCAGCAGCAGCATCCGCTCCAAGCTGGACTGGACCGCTCTGCTGCCGGCCGAGCGCAGGAAGCACTTCCAGCCGGTGGTGAGAGAAACGGGATCGCCGCGGGTCATGGGCGAGGTTCCCCAGCTGATTGACGTGAGGGCGGCACCGCTGCTGGCGGAGCAGGGGGTTCTGGGTAGAACGCCCAAAGCATACGTCATGACGTGTGAGTTTGACGTGCTGAGGGACGACGGGCTGATGTACGTCAGGCGGCTGCAGGACGCCGGCGTCACGGTGACAAGCGATCACTACGAGGACGGTTTTCATGGCTGCATGGTGTTTGCGTATCTGCCGATGATGTCTAAGGTTGGATGGAGAAGCATGAACAACTACATCCACTGGCTGGACCAGAATCTGTAGACGGAGATCTAGATCCTCTTGAAGTCGTTTGTGGCACCAAAGGTGGACCGGAGCAGTGAGGCTGGTACTTGAGAGCTCCTTGTTGAATCGGTGATGAGGAGACTTTGATGAAATGGTGGTTTAGGTAAAAACAATCCTGACCTGTAACACAGAACATCAAAGGTTTGATCTACTGTACCCTGAGCAACACGCCAAACAAGACATACAACTACCTACATTACAACTATCTATCTATGAGCATTAATGTAAGAAAAACATGCTGTTTCCCTGGAGGACTTAACAGACACCTGAACATCTTCCTTGAGCACTTCTGCCACACTGTGCACACAAACAGGTCTTTTAAAGCAAGTATATCTACTCAGTGTAACAGAACTTCACCGAACCTGAAAACCAAAACATTTCTAATAAAATGTAACCAAAGAAAGGAGTAACTGAATTACTTTTACAAAAAAGAAAAAAGTTCTATGCAGTTTGAGTCGATACTAAATAGCAAATTGTAGGAAATATTTTCAAAGTCAGCTCCAATTTGGTTTTAGATCCTTTTAAGTTTGTTTTATCCCAATTTTAAAATTAATCTCAAATAAATAAACACACACCTGCATTTACAGAACTAAAAGTATATAATATATATATTTATAACAGGTTCAAAAATTGTATTTAAACATAAAATATACGAAAAGTATGGGAGAAAATCTGATAAAAAAAAAATACCAATCGCACCCAATGTATGGATGCATTATGTTATTTATCCATGTATTTTTGTATGTAACTTTTAGGGATAAT